CACATGTTTGGGAGGGAACCCCAGGTTGCACAAGTCTGAGTCTAGGAGCCTGAAGGCCAAACATGGGGGAAACATTTCCATGACGGGCAGCAGAGACAAGTCCCGAGCTCGGAGGAGGAGCTGGGCTGCACAGGTCATGGGGTGGGCGGATCCTTATGCTGAATGACAGAGACATTGGTCTAGAGTGTTGCTTGACCTATGTACCGGGGAAATCTCGTGTGTGTGTGTGTGTGTGTGTGTGTGTGTGTGTGTGTGTGTGTGTCTGTCTGTCTGTCTGTGTGTATGTCTGTTTGTGTGCATGTGTGGCATGTGTGTGTGTGTATGTGATGTGTGTCTCTGTGTGTGTGCATGCGTGATGTGTGTGTGGGTGGTGGTGGCGGGGGCGCCGCCCAGGAGTATACAGGAGCTACCACTGTGGAAAGTCTCCCGTCTGGCCCAGGTCCAGACGTGGCTCGTTCCTGGATTTGGAGCGTCAGACTGAAGTACAGAGGCCTGTGAACGGGCCCTGTGTGTCCCCCAGCACACGTCTCTCTTGGAGATGCATGCTGATTAAAGTTTTGCTTTTCCTCATTCCCTGGACTTTAAGGGACCTGGAAGGAGTGAGAGCTCACCGGAGGGCCCTGGCTGTGAGAGGGAGGAGAGAGCTAGCACCCTTCTGCCTTTGCTCCTTGGTGTCAGGGACTTGACGTGAGTTCCTGGGACCTGAGGTGGCCGTCTTGGAGAACAGCCAAGCCAGGTGCTGTGAGCTCATGCCCTGGTCTCCTGGTCAGCTCCACAGGAAAGCAGGAGGTTCAGAAGAGGAAGGGATTTCATCAAGCTCAGGTTTGCAGACAGCCGGAGATAGCTGTTAAGGTTATTTCAGGGGGGAAAATTCTACTGCTTATCCTAGCTCTAAATGAGAAATGAAGACTAAGCCAAACAAAATGAGAGAGTCTTCGAGCTGAAAGGGAAAGATGGGCTTTTCTGACTTCCAGGATAATTTAGATTCATTTGTTTGTTCAACAGATTTCTTTTAGAATCTATTGTGTGCTCAGTGCAATGGATTTCAGTGATGGAGAGAATTAGCTTCTTAAATCTCTGGGAAAGTGCTCGTAACTCCCGAGGACAGTTGTTAAGGAGCCTTGGGAACTTGATGGAGTGCCATCGTGGAGGTACTCCCGGGGTGACCCCGACCCCAGACACTGCTCAGCCAGGTGGTGTTACAGGACTGTTGCTGTGTCCCTGAGGGCACTTTGGGTCATCCAGGCCCTGTGTTTAGATGCTTGCCGGCTGTGTTGGGCTTCTAGGTGTCCTGAACCCCTAATGCACACACAGTATAAATGAGATTTACAGGCTGGGCCTCATGGCGGGGCTGCTGGCTATGGCCTCCTGTTCATCGGCAAAGCTGAGCGCCCTGGAGCTGCCCAGCTCTGAAGCTAGAGGCTTTGGCAGTCCCAGCCCTGATGAGGCCGGGCAGGTCCTCCCGGAAGGGCCGAGGAGGCTGGGGTGCCAGTCTGGAAGAAGCAGAGGCAGGCAGGCTCCTGCTGGTTCTCCTGGGATCTCCCTGTATCTTCCTCATTCTTCTGGGTGAGTGACACCCACTCGACCCTGTCAGGAAACGGTGTCATGACAAGCCCAGCCCCTGTCCCCTGAGTGACTGTCCACCCCGCCGGGTTGGTAACGTCCATGGCACTGCCCTGTCCAGCTGACACCACCTTGGTACTTCTCTAATGGCTGAACTCTCAGCTGTGGGGGTATCAGCCCTGCCTCCCTGAGGACGGAGCCATGACCTTTGGCTCGTAGTACTTTACATCTTAGGGACGTGGTAATGCCTTCCCTTGGGAAGACACCTTATTTTTCTTTAAACAACAGTCATTCTGACGGTATTTTTATTTCCCGTTTGTGATCCTAAATAGAGACACAGGAAACAATCCACTGTCGCCTTTACTAAGGGGAAAATCCTGGCCATGGCAAAGACTGGCTTTCATTGGCACACCGGAGACTGGCGGAGGCCGTGGCTAACTGTGGACGATTGTCCTAATGAAGCAGGCACCCACATGTTTCCGTGTAGCACGGCCAGCCTGGAGGTGTCAAGTCTCCCAATATTTCGAGATAAGTTACAAATGCTTGCAGATACCTGCTGTAAACGTTTTGGCAGATTGAAGAACAGGTGTGAAGGTGAGAGGGAAGTGTTTTCGGGAGGAGCCTGGCCCGGCTCTAGCGTGGCTGATAGTCAGTTTCTAGCGCAACCACACCTGCTTCCCCTCTCGTGGACGTAGAGTAAGTGTGTGGGGTCAGTGTTGGGTTCATTCACCCACCTGTCCGCACACCCTGCTTCAGTGTTTGTGTGTGACAGCCACGAGGAGGCTGTGCTAGACACGGAGAGCAAAGCCGTCCCAACCCTGCACTCAGCTCACTTCCGCCCACCGTCTCTGGCTTGGGTGTGCCCCACGCCTCCAAACCCACCTTCCTGAGAGTGAGACTTCAGTTCCAAGGGCTGTTGCCCAGCGTGTAAGGTGCTCCCGAGCCCGGCCGCCCCTCACTGGTCCCCTGGGACTGGCCTCTCCTGTCCACCTGGAGAACATTTCCTTCCATCGCTGCACTCTGCTCCTGGTTAGCTGGCATGCTCCTTCCCCGCTCTACACGTTAACCCTTTAGGAGTGGACCCGTCTCTTCCCTTCTTGTCTGTGCACTGCCTCAGGTGGTTAATGGCCAGCGAGTCTTGTTGAATGAATGGAGCGATGAACTGTTAGATCTGTGGCTCCCTGGCTCTGTTGGTGGTCCGTCCCAGTTAGTGGCTGAGAACGTTAGCTTTTCCAGGGGAGGCGTCAGTCCCTCGGGGCCGAAAGTGTGTAGCGCGTTAATCTGCACTCTGCTCGTCTCTGTGCCCAGCGTGTTGTAGCCCCATCACTGTGTTGACACTGGTACTCCAGTGTAGGCCGCCCCTCGCACAGATGCTCTGTCCTGTGTGTAAGTGTGGATCTGAGCTCTTGGCAACGACATCGGGCAGATCAGTGACAGGCGCTGGGGCTTGTGACAGGCGCTGGGGTCTCAGTCCCGGAGGGCGCTCAAGTATCAGTCCCGCTCTGTGCTGGCCGCAGATCCATCTGGCCATCAGGCTTGCCGGCAGACTGCTGTGATGAATGTCTCTGTTGAGGTGGGGCGCGTGGCATCGATCACAGCCCCTCTTCCATTGAGTTATGAAACGTCACCAGTGAACCCTGTTCTGTGTGCACACCCATTCTTCTGCGCACCCATCTCGCTCCAGAACCAGAGGTCCTGCCTCTATTCTCACAGGCTGTGGGTCTCCTTTTGCCTGGGTGGGAGGAGGGATGGGAGTGCCCACGAGGGCAGGGAATGTGGTGGGAAGAGGGCCGCGCTCGGCCGTGGACACTACAGAACAGTGGCTTCCCGGACCAGCTGCAGGGAGGCGGAGGACGGGTGAGGGGAATGTGTATGAGAAGGGAGGCAGCCAGGGCCCCGTATACTTCATTAGACAGCTTGGTCCTGGGTCCTGTCACCTGAGCAGGGGCAGGGTTCCTGATTGTCATGGGCTGTGGGTGGGGTATCAGAAGCTGTTCTCCAGTAAGCAGGCTTCCAGTTCAGAGACATCTTCCAAACAAGATGAGGCAGGAGCGTGCTGCCCGGCTGGGGAAGGGACTCCCGCTTGCACTGAGCTGGGGGCTGTCTGGTCTTGGAGGCCGCAAACCTCAGCAGCACGCCCTCCAACAGCAGATAGGTTGTGTTAGAAAATTTTGTTAGCATTTTGTCTCAAATGTTTGTCTCTCTCTTTTTACACGTTTTAGAGCTTCTTATTTTATAAATAACACCATGAGGTTGTGTAGGTATTTGTGTATGTGTGTACAAATCATTATTTCATGATGGAAAATTTCTGGAATTAGAATTTCCAGTCAAAGGGCACACACCTCCCTTTTCCACTTTCACGTTTGTGGGGGTGTGCGCGTCTCAATATGTTTGTGGAAGTCCGTAAGGTAGCAACTAGGATAATGGCTGGGGGTCACCACAACACGAAGAACTGCATTAAAGGCCGCAGCACTTAGGGGTCTGAGGACCCGTGTTCTGCAGACTTGGCTGGGTACACTCTTCCCTTTACTAAGGGGAACCCGTAGATGTGTCTCTGTGATTTGGAGCTGTGCAGGTATGTTTGTGATGCTGAGCATCTGTCTGTGGTTCTCTCTTAGTTGGCTTTTTCATGGTGTTAACAATCAGACTCTCAGATGGGGCGGGGGGGGCGGGGAAGGGGGGCTGTGTTACGAACACAAACCCTGGCCACCCAGAGGCCCAGTGATAACGGCTTGCTGCTCAGCCTGGCCACCTGAGCTTGAGACCCACACGGTGGGGAGAGAGAACCAACTCCCACAGCTGACCTCTGACCTCCACGTGTGCACAGTGGCGTGCATTCGTGAACTCACTTCGTCCTCTCTCCCAGACATGCACACACAAAATAAATAAATAAACATTGAGAAAAATACTACAAATACTAAAGCCTCCCGGTGAGTTTGCTCTGTGCTGTCTCAGCTGCAGCTGGGGTAGCAAGTGTCGCTAACACGGCCCACCGCTACCACATCCCATGTGAGCTGCTGCGGACGCGGCGTCCAGGTGTAGACTCTGGAGACGCGGTCCCCGGTGCTCCCCGGCTGAGAACCCTGTCTGTGCCTGGCTGGTCCATGCCTGGCTTGTCCTGGCTGAGACAGGGGTGCAGTGTCGTGCTTCCGTTCCTCTCCAGTGGCCATGGCTCCCCTGGGTTCCAGGTAAAAGCAAGAATGATGGGAAGGGGCTTCTGTCTGTCCCTGGCCGGCGCCAGCACCGTCTCTGTGCTGGCTTCTGCCCGTGAGTCAGCGCTGATAGGACGGAGCCTGAAGGCAGACACGCACGAAGCTTGAGAGTCGCTGGGCCGCTAGCGTCTCTTGCGAGGCGATGGCTGGCGGCTGCGCTTGTGTTTGACTCTTGGGGCTGTGGCTTGTCTCGACTCTCCATTTCGACTTTGTACCTTCTGGCAGGCTGAACATTTTTCTGACCGGCATGGACCCGCTCTACTTCCACGCCGTGAATGTGGTCCTGCACTGCCTGGTGACCTTCGTGCTGATGTACACCTGCGAGAAGACGGTCTTCAAGAGCCGCGGGCCGGCGTTCCTCACCGCCCTGCTCTTCGCGGTGCACCCTGTGCACACTGAGGCGGTGAGTGCTCGGGAGGCGGGGAATAGTGCCCGCTGACAGCCCAGTGAGAGCCGAGCGTGTGCCGTGCCAGCCAGGGCGGTCACGCCTACCTGCGCGCCCTTCCGCCCGGCCATGCCACGAAAGTGCTCACGCCGCTCTGCCCGGAGGTAGCTGCCTCTTCGCACAGGGGCTAGAGAGCGCTCCGCCTTTTCACTGGTGAGGAGAGTTACACCCCATGTGCTTCGGGTAACAGGGGCCATGTGAGGCCCCACCCCACGCTGTCGCCCTGCTCTGCCTCGTGCCCGAGTTTACAGCCTGAAGCTGCACGTGCTGAGCACGGAGCTGGAGAGCTAGACCGTGACCTTCTCCCAGGGAGTGCAGACAGGCTTGGGGGACTTAGATCGCCTCCCCCTTATCTCACCTGATAAGAAGTCTGGCTCTTTTGTGTGGGGAAGACTTTGGAAGGTTTACTAGTTTGGATCTGTGACCCCTTTCAAAGCTTTGGTCCACCGTGCACCAGGTGAGTTAGGGCCACGACGCCACTGTGTGCGTCCAGTGACAGGAACAGGCATTTCTGTGTGTGCTGCTGTGGGTAGGTAAGGGCTCTCGGGGCCACTGGCACCCAAGCTTTCGGAGAGTGCGGCTTTCTGGCTGACGGACACCATGCTCTCCATAGATGGCCTGCAGCGCCTCCTCGGGCACCTGGGCGCGCCCTGAAGATCTGCCCAGGAGCTTGAGGTACTGCAGCTCTCCCGGAGCTCCCCTCATTTGCCTGCTCTTGTCTGCAGGAGGAATGCGTACTCCTGTGACTGGCTGTCCCAGCAGACGCCTCTGAGTCGCCTGCAGAGGACAGTTTTGATGTGTTGCTGTGCCGAAGCCTCACAGAGGGACTTCCTAGCTCTCTCTGCTCATTTTCTGTTTCAGTGAAGAATATGTCCTGGTGTTAGCAGGACCCGATGGTACTCTGTGCTGAAGCTCTGAGTCGGAAGTGAGATGGTGGACATGGGGCCTCATACAATGTTTATCTGAAGTGTTTAATCACACGAGAAGTGTAATGCAATTAGCTGATACCATAGTGAGGACTTGCATATTTTTCATGAACAGAATTCTAAATCTTTAAGCCCAAGGTGATGTTGATTATTAAAGTTTAATATTGACTCATCTTTTAGTTAAACAGTGGTTATTCCTAAACCAGCTGTATACCCAAATCACCACACAGAGACTAGGATTTATTTAATTAACCTAGAGCACAGTGCTGGCAATAGTGACTCCATCCTAAACCTCTAAGCCTGCATAGTTTCTTCCCATTCTGATTTCACCCATTATACTTGCTTTTAGTCATATCTCAGGTCTGGTTCATCTCTCCTGATGGTTCCAAGTTCTCTCCTGCCAATCCCTCCACTCCGACTCCTCCCCTCCGGACCAGGATGTCCCACCCTATCCTTTCCATTGCTCAGCATTGGCTAGTTGTTTAATTGAAATTACAAAGAACAAATGGTGGCATGTTTACACAAACTTGAGACAGGTGATGCTTAGAATAAGCATCACAATGGAATGTCTGGTTTGAACCAGATAGTGGGGGAGAGAAATCAGCATTTGAATGAACAAGGATAAAGTGTAGGTTTTCCACAAGAACATTATACCAACATTTCCTCCTTTAAGTCCAATAAAGGCTCCTTTTCTCATAATACAATAATAATTATAAAAGTTATGAAAACTATTAGGTAAGATTTACATGTGTAATGTCCAGTTGCATTTGGCAACTTAGGAGAAAATATTTGATTATCTATCCTATCTGGACAAGTTTAGAGTTCAGTACCTAAATTAACCTTTATCCTTGTTGGTATTACCTATATGAAAATATTTTCTTAAATTCTAAAAAACGTAAGATAAATATTGTGGAACTATAACTACCTGGTCTTCAACCCCACCAGAGACTTGAGAAGGAATAAAATTAGTTACTGGAGTAAATAGGAAGTGCATGTTAGCAGCTTCCAACAACAACAAAATGACAGTTTGCTGCCTGAACAGTCACCCCAAATTCTCTATAACGTTGGAGCATCATCTTCAGCCTTCTGGCTTAGAATATTGGACAGACTTATACGTGAAACAGGAACTATTTAGGACTTGCTTACCCTGTCTTGGCACAGTTCGGGCAGTCGACTTGTCCTGCATTTAAGCTTGCCCATTTTTGGCAGAATTCTGTCTGTTGAGAAACAAGGGTGTTTTCTTTTTGCCTGTGGCTTGTTTTCCACATTTGAAGCCATCTCCATATGGAGGTTCTTTGATGCCCATCACCTTCTTTGAGTTAGGCTGGGTGCTGCCAGGAGATGACCTTTCTCATTGTCAAAGAATCTTTAAAATAATAAAGACATTTTTAAAAGCCACATTCTCTGGGTCTCTGAAGTTTTTGAAGACTTACCTATCTTCATGCAGTTGACCGGTCTACAAAGTCATAAATCTATCTCTTAACCCTAGGCTGTATACTCCTGTGATAAATTAGACTACTATCTGACATGACTATGACCTTGTTCCAAGACAACACTAACAGGATCTGCATTTCTACTTTAGCATATAGACCTTCATCTAGTAATTGAACCTTAACAATACACTTAAAATATCCAGTATGACCAAGTTGGCCTATAGCTGAAGACTTTCTCTCCAGCATCTCAGTGGGTTGCCATTTTGTAATATCTTCAAGCCTCTGTGGACTTTTCTCATCTGGAACCACCTCTTTTGGTGTTAGTGTAAGCACCAGATTGGATTGCTCTGAAGGCTCTCTATTTTGATTCAAAGATTCCCCCATCCTCTGTTCTATGACCTTTAATTTAGCATCTATTTTCTCAGTCTCTTCTTTCTCCAAGACTGTCTTATCCTGATCTCTACCAAAGAGGATATACAAAACTGAAATCATCAGTGAAATCATGTATGCTAAGAGAAGCAAACTCAAATGGTACCTAGAAGCACTGTGTCATCGTGCCTTCCTCCATTTTCAACATAGGAAAGTATCTTTTTAAATCTCAAAACCTTTCCCTAAGGACTTCACTTTCTTAGACCCAGGTTCCCTCTTAGACTTTACCAGGTCAGATGCTTGTGGCTTCTCAGTCTGTCTCTGGCTCCTGCTTCGAGGGAGAGATGTTTTTTTCTGCCTCCCTCACTGGATCCTGACCCCTTCCTCACTCTGGGAAGTTAATGGGTCCACAAATGTTTGTTCCTTAGATCATTAAGAACCCCTTCTCAAAGGGATTTCACTTTCTGCCTGGCTAGCTCAGTCGGTAGAGCATGAGACTTTTAATCTCAGGGTCATGGGTTTGTGTCCCACGTAGGGCGCCATTTGTTGTAGATTATTAAAGTTTAATATTGATTTATCTTTTAGTTAAACAGTGATTATTTCCAGAACAGCTGTATAGCCAAATCACCACACAAAGACTAGGATTTATTTAGTTAACTTAGAGCACAATGCTGGGCAATAGTGACTCCATCCTCAGCCTCCAAGCCTGCATAGTTTCCTCCCATTCAGATTTCCCACATTATCCTTGCTTTTAGTTATATCTTAGGTCTGATACCTCTCTCCACATGGTCCCAAGTCCTCTCCTGCCAATCCCTCCTCTCCAACTTCTCCCACTCACTTTTTTTCCTCCCCTCCAGAACAGGATGTTTCACCCTATCCTTTGCATTGCTCAGCACTGGCTGGTTGTTTTATTGACAATACAGAGAACAAATGGTGGCATGTCTACACAAACTTGAGACAAGTGATGCTTAGAATAAGCACTACAATGCAATGTCCAGATTGAAACCAGATAATGGGGTAGAGAAATCAGCATTTGAATGAACAAGAGTAAATTGTATACAATCCACAAGAACATTATACCAACACCAAGGTATGATGTGTGTGTGTGTGTGTGTGTGTGTGTGTGTGTGTGTGTAGTGTCATATATATATATATATAATATATATATATTATATATATATCAACAGGGTATGTACATATATGAGCATTAGTGTTTGTGTGTGAACATCTAACGTACATACATATTATATGTTGGGGAAGTAGTGGATAAAAATCACTGTTAAAAAACAACTGCATCATTAAGATAGTTTTCCTTCTCTTTCTGAGAAAGTCAGACTGGGCAGAGTTCCTACGGGGGAAGACTGAAGTGTAAGTAATGGCCCCTGCTGCCAGCACGGTAAAGCTGTTCGCTAGACTTCTGGAAAGCAGGGACAGTGATAGGAGACAGGAGACACTGAGCTGCTGTAAGGACTGATGTGTTGACATCCATCGCTTCTGTCCAAATTAAAGTCAGGTTGTCCCGCCGGTCAGCTAACAGATCACAAAACCCGACGTGAGCTGGCGGGCCCTGTGTGGGAGTTACCTGACTTCGGAGCTCACAGCATCAAGCCTGGGACACACATCCTGCTGTTCTCATCCATAGGAACAGTCTAAAGGTGGAAGCCAGACTGAGAATTGTCTTGCTCTCCTAAAAAAGGCGGACGAGCCGCACATAGCAAACCCGGACACAGTTACTACCCTGCTCACCTTCATGTCTAGTATGTGAATTATAACCAGAAAACCAATACGTAACTAAAATATAATATGTGGAGAAATGTGATTATCCCAGAAATTTTAAAAATAATTAAGCAAAAAAAAAAATAATAATAAGCACCGTAGATATAGCTCTGTGCTAGAGTAATTGCTTAGGATGTGTGAGGTCCTGAGTTCCATGTTTTGCAACATGCACACACAGACCAACAAGATTCCATATGTATTTTCATTATGAAGAGGTAGTATGATAAGTGAAATATACCTAAACGTCACTTTGCGGTGCATCAAGAGGAAATGCTGAGGGGAGGTAGCACTCCGTGTGTGAGTTCACAGGAGAGAGCACTGCAGAGGTTTCCATGGGAAGGAGCGCTGGCTCAGCAGGTGTGATGGCCAGGGCAGTGGTGTCGGAAGTGCCTGGGAAGTGCAGGCAGGAAACGCAGGACTGCAGGGTCACCCTGGCTATGTGTGCAGCCTTTCGGCCAGCCTGACATTCAGGGAATGCTGCCTCAATAAACTCGGAAAAGATTGAAAGCTCTTGGATTTAGGCAGAAGACGGGCAGCCTGGGCGGCTCCGGCTCCTGTGAAATATATAGCCCAGGGTGATATTCTATTTTTGACAAATTTACAAGCTACAGTTGTGTACTGTACTTGGGGACAGTTATTGCAGGAAAGATCAACTGTGCAGTTAGAGTTTTAGTTCATTGGCTGAGGAGAGAGAGAGAACGCAAGGCAGCCATGGGCAGTGCGATCAAGACCTGAGAGAGGTTGGGTTCACTAATGGCAAATCCTATTAGTGAAGCGACCTTCAGAAAGGGCTTTCTGGGGGCTTTTGTGCTAATACGAAAATCCATAGTAACATGATTAAAGAGACATAGGTGTTGAAGAGCCGGGAGGACAGTATTTGGAGAAGGTGGGGGGAAGTTACTTGTGTTTGCAAGATGAGGAGCTGTGAAGAAGAGGTGAGGAAATCTGAGCCAACAAAGCATTTACACTATAAAGCAAGGTGGACTCTGCTATTTAATTATAGATTGCAGTTCAGGCTCCTAGAGAGGACAGGGAGACGCAAGAGACAATGCGCTTCACAGACAATTAGTGATAAATTATTGAACATGCACAGTGAGGCATGGGGGCCTGGGGAAATCGCCCTTCTTCATTAAACAAGACTGAAATGGACCATATTGTGTTATTCCAGGAAGATGGAGAATTTAAATGTGGGGTGGTTTTGTATAGATGCGTCGACATGACCCTGTGTCAGCATGTTGACTCGGCTTATGTCACAAGTGAGGTTAACAAATAGATAATGAGTCTAGGCATGTAGGTGCCAGATCATTGGAGGCAGAGTTAGTTCACATGTAAGTGAGCGGGGACACGTTGGCTGATCTTGTCTTTCAGCACGCATTTGAATGCACACATATGGTGACAGTGGGGAATCGCAGACTCAGGACCGGACACCTCATTTAAGCCCTCGGGATTCCTGAGCAGGCCTCCTAATGTGGCATTTCTTTGAAATTTTATGCTTTTCTGAATCAAGACAAAAACAGCAAATTATTGTGATTCCCCTATGAAAATGTGACTTTGGTCTCCATAGACATCACAGGTTTGAAGGAGTGAAAGAAAGGACCCAGGAAGCCGGCACACAGAGCAAAGGTTAGAGCCAGCAATTCTAGACTGGAACAGGAGGCTTGGGAGAACATTGGCTGTGATCTCAGCAGCCGATCTGGCTCCTGGCTGATGACACTCGCCTCACTCATCCCTGGCTCTGTCTGATGCTAATGGAACTCATTCTTGCAGATAAAATAAATATCTGTAACTCTATACAGAGTCTTGGCAAGGTCCCTGTCAGTAGCATCCTTAAAATAACACATGTAACCTGAAGGCAAATGAAGGTCTAACAGGCATTTTCTACACATAATTTTGTGGTTGTGGCTGATAGGTCTGCACGTCAGCTCACACACTCGTAACCCGAAAATCTCAGATTCCAAAATCTCCAAAGCCCAACTCTTTGAGTGTTGACCTGAGGTGACAGCTGGGAAATCCCCCACCTGACCTCACATGCCAGGTCACAGTGGAAGCCTGGCCACACCAGCGATATCGTATAAGATCACCCTCAGACTCTGTCCAGAGAGTATGCGGCATTAGTGGTGGGTTCCGTGTTTAGTCTTCCGGCCCGTCACCAGGACATGTTGCTGCCTATACATGAAGATGCTCTAAAGTCTGAAAATGAGCTTCTGAGACATTTCTGGTGCCAAGCAGTTAGGTGGCCTGTGTTTACGTTCTGCGCGGTTGTATTCACAGTGTGTGTGCGTTGCGGCACTTTAACGGTGTTGACGTAACTGCCCTGCTCATGAAGGCCCGCAGCCCGGGGCTGGGAAACACGCGTGTGCTTCTGCCCTCCTTGTGCCTTTTTAAATGTGCTGATGCGGGCAGGGTCAGCCACCAGCGCCTTGACACCCTCATCTTCACCCCTGCTGCCTGCCCCCAGCGCTCACTCCACTGCACGGGCGCTGTCTCCCCTTCTCCCTCCCCCTAAAAACAACGCTCAGTCTGCTGCCCTCCAAGACAAGTGCACGAGGGCACGAACGCAGGAGGGCACGAATGCACGCCGGCGCCTCTCCTGGCCCGGCTTCAGGCTCCTCAGTCTCAAGCTCCTGAGACCTCCCTCGCCTCCGCTTTCACTCTCAGGCAGCAGGGCCAGCCTTCCCTGATGCCCCTGCAGCCAGGATGGAGCTTCAGTCACAGCAGACACCAACAGAGCAGAGGCTTTAAAACTGTGCTCCGGTTTCTCCTGTACGGTTTTATATCTTGAATAAGAGAGAGAGAGAAAGGAGAGAGAGATACACAAACATCTTATGGAGCACAGTGGTGCTGGTGCTTGTAAACCACGCCAACGTCCCTGCGCCCTTTGTGCCCGCCGCAGCCCCCCCTCCCCCCCCCCTGCCCGCCGCAGTCCCCCCCCCCCCCCCGTGCCCGCCGCAGTCCCCCCCCCCCCCCCGCGCCCGCCGCAGCCCCCCCTCACACCCCCGTGCCCGC